GACTTGGTTTGCTTGGGGACAAGCAAACGGTTAAGTGTGGGGGAGTTTGATAGACCGTTAATTACACATGTTCTTACCCCTGTTCTTACACCGTTTGAGATGTGATTTCTCGTGTTTTAGGCCGATTTCACGCTAGGTTGTGTTTGTTTGTGATATTTCAGGTCCTAGTACGTGAATGGAGGCTTAGGAGAGAGTTTGGGGTCGATTGGACGAAGATCGGGCGCGAGGCAAGTCAGAAAGGAGGCCACACAGGCACACCCACAACTCACACGGCCGTGCAAGTGACCACTTTGGCCGTGTGAGATTGTGCGAGAGCAAACACGGCTTGCCCTGATGTTCACACGGCCGTGTGAAGGAGTGTTTTGGCCGTGCGAGTTTCGCCGAGAGCAAACACGGGCAGATGGAAATCTCACACGGCCATGCGACCCTGGCCGTGTGAGAAGCCTGAAGATCGAACTAATTGGAACGCAGCATTTTGATTCACACCGGCAACTGGGTATGCCACACGGCCGTGTGGCCCTGCCCGTGTGAGTCGGGAATTCCTGGTTTTAACCCAATTCAGGGCTGCAAGAGAGGGAATCGGACTTTTTGAGCAAAAACAGAGCCCTAGAGAGAGAAAGGACGAAGAACACATCCTAGAAGCCATCTTGGAGCTGGGTTTCATCAAATCAAGCTTGGAGATCGTCATAGGAGTGGAAATCATCATCCCAGAGCAGATTTTCCTCATCTTTATGAGTATGACTACTTTGTATCTTGTTTTCCTCTCTCTCTCTCTCTCTCTATGGAGTAGAACCCCTCTCTCACTTGGGGATGAAGAACCCTAGTTCTATGTGTTAGGGATTGATTGTAATGACTTGGGATGATATTACTGTTTGATTTTAATCGAATGATGCATGTTTATTGAGTCAATTGAAGTCTGATCAACTTTTCCTGATTCCTGCTGCAATCTGAGATAGATAGAATCTGATTAGGTTGCTAGAGTCTCATCATTCGGTAGTAGGAGATTGGCTATACGAGAGTTAGCCAGTTTACTGCTTTGTACTGGAATCCAATTCCAGTAGTGGAGTTCTGTTCTTACTGCTTCAGCTTTCTATCCCGGTGAAGACTAGTCGTCTGCCGGGTAGATAGACTGAGAGGGCTTGGTCAGCTTAAGAGATTCCAAGCTACTGTCGGATCTTCCGCAGTCTAATCAACAGTGAATCAACCCAGGGAAATACAATTGAAACCTAACTAAGGAGCTAGGGGGACTCATTCCCGAGTGACTCTTACCTGCTTGAGAAAAGCGTATCAATTCGTGCTTTCTTTCTGCTTTTGCTTTTAAACAACAATCACTTACTCTAGTTGGCTAGATAATAGAGAATCACTGAGTAAGCAGTAGACCTAGACCCCGGGTTGATAATATTACTTGTCACTTTACTGCATTCCCGGTCTGCGATTACACTTGGTCGCAGATTGGTGTTGTGTTTTGGCGTGTCATAGACCGTTGTAACTACTTTTGGAGATAATAACAACTCTATTTTCCCTTCTCTATCTCTCTCTCTCTCTCTCTCTCTCTCTCTCTCTGTCTCTGTCTCTGTTCTTCTCTATTCCTTCTCCCTTTCTCTGCAATTCTTCTTCGCCAAGTCCGTTCTAGACTCCTAGGGGTTACAAGCCAAATATGAAAAAAGAGCAAGCTGCAAAGGGAGAGATCGCCGGAGTGGTGTATCCGACAACTTGCCGGGCGTGAAGGGGGTTACAAATATGGAATTAATTAAGAAGATCAAGTATAAGGTATTTTGGGTTGAGGGGCTCAATGTTGGTTTTAATCAAGGCAATGTGAGGCTTTGGCTAAATTACATGTTTGGTCAATAAAATTATATAAATTTTTCGCGTTTGCCACACAAATTACTTTTCTTTCATATTCGCCACTAACTTTACAAATCGTTTCACCGTTAGTCACTAGTCATTAGTCTCCGTCAGACTTCGTTAACTCCGTCAATTTTTGTTGACTTGGAAAACGTAAATGCTGACTGGACCACTAACATATTAAAATAAAAAATAGTGACAATGGCAATTAAAAATAAAAAATAGAAATGGACCCCTCCCCCTTTTCTTTCTTCTTCTTCCTTTGCCTGTCCATTTTCTTCAACCAAGATACCTAATTCTAGTTTCATTTTTCTCCAATTCCCAGTTCGACTTTCATCTCGTTGTCCGGCGCCGCCATTTCTCTGCGCCACCATGGACAATCTAGACGACATGGCGAATCTTCTTCTGGTGGAATCGTAGATTCATGGTAGCGACTTCTGGTTCCAGATCCCCAATTCCCCAATTCGACAGATGCGACTTCTGGTTCCCACACTATCGATAACATCTTCCTCCAAATTTTCTCCTTTTTGAGGTTTTTTTTTTTTAAATTGAATCATAGTCCGTGCAGTAGTCATGGGGGAGGAAAAGAAGATGATCGGCTGCGAGGTGAACAGAGGAGAAAACAACCACAACGGTGGAAGCGGGCTTCGCGCCTACCATGCGGATTTGGCCGGAAAGACGAACAATCAGATTCAGCCAGGACTACGGAGGACGCGGTTGTGCTTGTCGAGCATGATGGTGACGTCCTTGCCGGTGGAGAGCGTGATGAGGGAGTCGAGATCGTGGCAGGGAAGCTGGTATTTGAGAGCTAACAGTGTTCCGAAGTTGAGGGCGCAGACTAAATGGGTGGCGAGAATAGAGAGAGTGAGATTGGTGACGGAGGTAGGGACTGTGATAGTAGCGCACATGAGACGCAATTCAGACCCGCCGATGGTTGTAGCTAACGTGGCGGTGGAGGGTGATGGCTCCATTTCCAGAGGTCAGCGGTTAGGGATTGTACTGTATGTAAATGTCAAATTGGGTAATTGTTAATTGGGTTGGGTGAGGCGGAGGAGTTTGATTCAGGAGAGGCGGCTTCGAGACCTTTGTTGCTGCATTTATCTTCTTCTTCATCCTCACTGCAATTAGAAACCCCCTGAAACGGATTGGTGGAAGAGAAGCAAGGTTGACTGGGGAAGAGAAAAAGTCAGCTCAATTCCATGAGATTGTGTGGAAGAGGAAGAGACCTGATGAAGCAACGCCCGGAAACAGAAGGGAGAATTTGATCCCGGAGAAATAAATGGGACAATCACTAGTGCTGTAGCGGCGTTGCCGTCGGGCTCGGGGTTTGGAAACGGAGGGTGGCGGCCGCTGGTTTTTAGGTTAGCGGCCCAGCAGTTAACGACCAAGTTAATTTTAACTCCGATGCGGTGAGAATAAATGGTAATTTTTATTTTTAATTTACATGTCATTAAGTTAATGGTCCAGTCAGCAGTTCCGTTTGCCATGTCATCAAAAAGTTGACGGAGTTAACGGAGACTAACGGTCGGTGACTAACAATGAAATAATTTGTAAAGTTAGTGACCAATAAGAAAGAAATGGGTGGTAAACATGAAAGATTTATGCAATTTGAGTGACCAAACGTGTAATTTAGCTGTGAGGCTTTAATTAATTGAGTTACAAATATGAAATTAATTAAAGGGATGAATGTTATAAACCAGTTGGTCTCAATAACTCGAGTTGTTGGGAGGAGGTTATGATGGATCTTATACAGGCCCATATATGGTACTTAACCACTTCCTTACACGCCCCCTCAAACGAAAGCCGACTCATGGGCTTGAAGTTTGCACAGGCCAGTCATACCATGTGCTTGAAAGACAACGGTTAATATTGGGGGTTGTGAGGACTTGAACACGTGACCGCAAGGACAAACCAGCTCTGATACCATGTCATAAACTAGTTGGTCCCAATAACTCGAGTTGTTGAGAGGAGGTTATGCTGGATCTTATACAGGCCCATGTATGGTACTTAACCACTTCCTTACAAAAGGTTGGAATTTACGTGGAGAGCATTTGAATATTGCAATTCTTGTGACCTTCTGAAACTCGTTTGGTCAGTTAATCAGCTAGGAGCGACTAAATAATTCCATGCACGTGGTTGCATGGTCGTACGGGGCGACTACATATATAGCATGTACACAAAAAGCAATGAGTTGAACTGTTACGTGGTTAATTCAAGTCCATCGACTTGAAATATAAGGTGAGTGTAAAGTAGATAAAATCTGCGTTGATTTCTTTTAGTTTATGCTTTTACTTTAAGTTATTTTCGTTAATTTTCAAGTATACGCGATTATGTATGTGAGGCGTCCCACCGCCTACTTAATGTGGAGGCACGCGTTGTGTTATGTATGAATGTATGGTTGTAATTTGTGGTTGATGGTAACTAAACCCCCGGGCGGTTGGGCCGCTACTGGACGCTATAGATGGTCGGGTCACTACTGGACGGTGATACGTAACGCAGTGCCATTTCCTTCAGGATAGGGACACTGGACGACGATACGTAACGCGGTGGACCCTAGTAGTAAGTGTATAAGTTAAAGATATTAATGACTTAAGTATTAAGGATGAAGGCGAGAACGACTTTCATGTAAGATGAAGTAATTTCTAATAATGTGTTAGTAAGGATTTCCTTAGGCAAAGTCTTAGGAAGTAACGACGAGACTGACCCCTTCTCACTCACCAGGTTAAGGAAGGGTTAGCGGATGTGAAACCGCGCCAGCATTGACTAGATCTCAGGGAGCTCAGAGAGGAGTTAGAGTTAGAATTTGTTTAGTTATTCTTGTCCATGATTATGAGCATAAACTGGAGGATCAAGGTTCATAATATATGTTGTTTTATCGATTACGGATTGTGGTCGCCCAAGTGTATAGGGCATTTCATTTGAATTTCTTTGGTAAATGATTCAGTTGTATTTGTTTTATTGGAATTTTGAATTGGTTTTAATTCGGCTCCGAAGCCATGCGTATTTTGATTTATTGAAAAGGATCGAGTTGTTTCAACTCTAACATTAGAAGAAACCAAATCAAATGTTTGAGTGGCGATGACAGTGACATATATTCTTATCTATAGATATTTACGATGAGATTAGGGCGAATTAAGTGATAGACAAGTTAGGGTTTACTATTAATACCTTTATAGTGTTGGAATCCTTATCCAATAATGATATGTTGTGTAAGCGGTCGACCACATACTTGACAGGTTGACACGCTAAAACACAACACCAAATCAGAGGAATGGTTTCCCACGGAATGTACACCTCGGCTTGGTGCTCTCCTCGACCTCCTAACAGTGCCCCAATCATACCCGTTCTCTGCCATCTCCTCAAAGAGTTGATTCATCTGTGGCGGTGTTTTGGTCAGCATGTTCCCGCCACAAACTGAGTCAATCAGCTACTTGTCTTCTAGGAAGAGGGCGTGATAGAAGGTTCCCACCTTGAAAGCATCATTGAAACCATGATTGGGATACCTCAGGAAGAGACTGTTGTATCTCTCCCAAGCATCCCTGATGGTCTCATCCTCGTCCTGAGCAAAATGGGTAATTTGCTTCTGCAGGTCCGCCGTCTTGGATGGAGGATGGTAGCGGGTGAGGAACTTGTCCGCCAGGGTGGCGAACGTGGTGATAGAGCCCGGAGGTCGAGTGTCTAGCCACTCCTTGGCCTGCCCCTCCAGGGTGAATGTGAAGTACCTCAGCTGGATGGCATCTGCTGGGACCCCATTGATCTTGATTCCATCGATGAGCTCGTGGAATCGCCTGAGATGCGAACGAGGGCACTCCTCCTCTTTGCCTCGGAACACCACTGAACCGCGCAGCATGGTGATTACTGAGGTGCTCACCTCAAAATTATTGGCTGGGACATGAGGGTGTTGAATGGGTGACCTCATGTCTGCAGCCCTGGCGGTCCAGTAATGTCCCATGGTCTGCTCCTCGGGAAGGACCACATCATGGTCTTGTGGATCCCCCATCTCTTCCTCTTCTTCGATCTGCAGCTGTGCTAGCTCTTCCTCCGCAGCCAGTCGCGCTTTTAGAGCCCGCTTGAAGTTTCTGCAGGTCCGTTCAAGCTCCTGGTCTAGTGGTAGTAGATCTCCCGACTGGCTACGGGTCATGCACTACCTGCACACAATCAGCAGAAGCAACCCGTGAAGGCACACAGGTGGAAGAGAGAAAATGTAGTAAAGAAAAAGCTAGAGTAACAGATTTGCACGTTTCCCCAATAACCTAGAGGGTCCCCGGCAACGGCGCCAAAAACTTGACACGCTAAAACACAACACCAAACTGCGACCAAGTGTAATCGCAGTCCGGGAATGCAGTAAAATGGCAAGTTCTATTATCAACCCGGGGTCTAGATATACTGCTTACTCCGTGAGTATCTATTATCTAGCCAACTAAGTTAAGTGTTTGTTGTTTTAAGCAAAAGCAGAAAAAAGCAGGAATTGGTACGATTTTCTCAAGCAAAGAAGAGTCACTCGGGAATGAGTCCCCCTAGCTCCTTAGTTAGGTTTCAATTGTAATTTCCCTGGGTTGATTTACTGTTGATTAGACTGCGGAAGATCCGACAGTAGCTTGGAATCTCTTAAGCTGACCAAGCCCTCCAGTCTAACTACCCGGCAGACGACTAGTCTTCACCGAGATAGAAAGCTGAAGCAATAAGCACAGAACTCCACTACTGGAATTTGATTCCAGTACAAAGCAGTAAACTGGCTAACTCTCGTATAGCCAACCTCCTACTACCGAATGATGATGCTCTAACAACCTAATCAGATTCTATCTATCTCAGGTTGCAGCAGAAATCAGGAAAAGCTTATAAGACTTCAATTGACTCAATAAACATGCATCATTCGATTAAAACCAAGCAGTAATATCATCCCAAGTCATTACAATCAAATCCCTAACACATAGAACTAGGGTTCTTCATACCCAAGTGAGAGAAGGTTTCTACTCCATAGAGAGAGAAGGAAACAGAATACAGAGTAGTCATACTCATAAAGATGAGGAAAATCTGCTCTGGGATGATGATTTCCACTCCTATGACGATCTCCAAGCTCGATTTGATGAAACCCAGCTCCAAGATAGCTTCTAGGATGTGTTCTTCGTACTTTCTCTCTCTACGGCTCTGTTTTTGCTCTGAAAATCCGATCCCCTCACTTGCAGCCCGAAATTGGGTAAAAACCTGAAATTCCCGACTCACACGGGCAGACTCACACGTCCGTGTGGCATACCCAGTTGCCCATGTGAGGTCAAAACGCCGCGTTCCGAGTTATTGGGTTTCAGGCTTCCCACACGGCCAGGGTCACACGGCCGTGTAGCTCACCCAGCCTGGCCGTGTGAAGCCTCGCAGAATTCCACACGGCCAAATTGCAACTTCACACGGCCGTGTGACTTCTAGGGCTGGCCGTGTGAAGGCTCGCACAATCCCACACGGCCAAATTGGTCACTTGCACGGCCGTGTGAGTTGTGAGTGTGCCCGTGTGACTTCCTTTTTGACTTGCCTCGCGCCCGATCTTCGTCCAATCGACCCCGAACCCGCTCCTAAACCTTCATTCACTTGCTAGGACCGGAAATATCACAAACAAACACAACCTAGCGTGAAATCGGCCTAAAACACGAGAATTACTATCTCAAACTGCTCCAGAATAGGGGTAAAAACGTGTGCAATTTACGGCTTATCACAGGTCGACCCTTTTTACTATTTGGGCAGATAATTCTGATTTCGATGTTGATAAGGTAATGCAATAGAGATCGACCCTTTTAAGAATGAGGTCGACCATTTAATGTAGAAGGTCGCCCACTTTAAGAATGAGATCGACCTTTTATATTGTTTGCTTGCCAAAGAGGTCAATCATTTCTTGTACAAGGCCAACTGCTTTGTTGAACGTAACAAAACAGAAACAGTAGATTCAGTCGACCTTTATTACCTTGCGGTAGACCTATTTGTGAAAGTCACCGTAGCAAAGTCCCAAATATAGACTTATAAATGATTTCTGACCATAAAGTTATTAACTGGAACAAGGGGCGGAGCTGAAATTTGAGTATCTGGGGGTCGATATTTTTTCGTATTATTGGAGAAGCAAAAAGCACAAAAAATATACTAAGAATAAGAGAACCAAATTATTAGTTTAGATAATTAGATTCCTTCACAGTAGTATTGATGAAAAAAAATTTATCCTATTATTTTAGTTACAAATGATTTAATTACCAAAAAAAGTTAATAATACATTTCAATACATAACATATTTTAACATCTTTCAAACGAGTAAAAAGAATGTGCACGAAATAAAATGTTGGGGATATGGCTAAGTCCTTGCACGCAAACAATAGAAAGAGTGCACGGGAGTGCCTAACACAATGTCACTTCACATTTATCGCTATATGACTCACTCCTACTGTCACCCTAGAAGATGGCCAAGTGTAACCACTTCCTAGAGCGTAGTATAGCGGGTTTGGGTTTTATTGTCAACCCGGGTCCTAGATGTGATGACTACTTAGTGCATTCTTATTATCTAGCAGTGAAACCTTAGTGCAGGTTCAATTAAGCAAACAAGCAAAGCAATTAAACGGTTGTTTTCTAGTCAAGAGAGGTCACCCGGATATGGTTCCCCCTAGACTGCAGTTAAGCCGGATTGTAATTTACCAAGTTCAGTTTCTATGATATTTCTACTGCGGGAGGTTCTTAAGTAGTCTGAAGTCTCGACTAAAGGTCTCCCGACCCTCTCAATCTGAGTCCCCAGCGGGGGACTAACCTCCACCGGAGTAAACAGATTGAGGCCCTAACGAACCAAACCTCCACTACCGAAGTAACTTCGGTATAGAATAGTGAATTGGCTCATCGACTAAAGTCGCCAATTCACTACCTTCAATTAAGGGTGCTCTATCAACCTAGGCAGTTATTCTCTTTCTATGTTAAAGCAGAAACAAAATGAATTTGATCAGGATTCAAGTCATTCAATCATTCAAGCCTCAATTAAATATAATCAAATCATAAAATATGTACTTGGGTTCATACAATCAGACGTAACACACAAATCTAGGGTTCTCCATACCCAGATGAATGGGAAAATTACTCCATGGAGAGAGAAGCAAAAGCAGGTTCAGATGCAGAAATCATACAGTGAAGGATGAGAATCTGCTCCTGGTCATCAATCGGCACTTCTCCAAGTGTAAGCCGAGATCCAATGGCAATGAAGATCAAGCTAGGGCACTTCCGAACTCTGGTTCGTCGCTCTCTCTCTCTCTCTAGGAATCGCTTTCTTTCTCTAAAACTCGGAACTCCCTTCTCGTCTGCTGAAAATTGGCTTAAAACCAGAAAATCCCGACTTACACGGCCGCGTGACATCCCCAGCTGCCCGTGTTAGTTGTGCAAACCGCAGCGTTTTGATAAGTGGCTTCAGGCTTCCTACACGGCCACGACCCACATGGCCGTGTGGCTTCTCAGCTTCCTGCCAAACGTCCAAACTTTGCCCAATCTACCCCGAACTCGTTCCTAAATCTTCATTCACGTACTAGGACCTGAAATATCACAAACCAGAACAACCTAGTGTGAAATCGGCCTAAAGCGCGAGAATCGACATCTCAAACGGCTCAAGGATAGGGGTAAAAACATGTGTAATCAATGGTCTATCACTATAAATAGAGAATGTAACATCATGATCCTTTTAACAAAAAATATAAAATTGTACTCCGGACCACAGTAAAATTTCGTAAAAATCAAACAAGAAAACAAAAACGGAATCATTCCTTAAAATTCGAATGCAACAGCTGGGCAACTTCATCCTTGAATCATAAAACACAAATTTTGAATCTTCAGTTTATACTCATAATCATGAAACGAAACAACTAAACGGGTCCTGCTACAACTTCATATTGTGATCCTTCCTTAGACATCTTCACTGATGATGATGCTTCTCATATCGCACTATCTCCTCTCGTGCTACTTGACCTCTAACCCTTTCTCTATCTGGTGAGTGAGAAGGGATCAGTTTACGCTGCTACAAAGAACTACGTATAAGAAAGAAACCATAAACATACGACTTTACTTTGAGGGAGTTGATCTTACTCCCTTCCTTTGACATTATCTTATAAAAGAAAACGGTAGTAGTTGGCACTACCCTCCACCCTTAACTTAAAAAACTAGACACCCCTTAACCTATGACATTGTCGTTTGGTGTCCTAACCTCTTAGACAATGGCCTGCATTTTAATTCGTAGTACGATACCATGCCTAATTAACTACTGTGTATCGTATCGCAGTCCAGTGGTGATGCAACCACCCCAGGATATTATTTCCTTACTAACACTCACTCATCACATACACATAACCTTCATTAGGCAGTGAGATAGCTCAAAATCTTATCCTCTCCTTCAATAGGCGATGGGTTACCTCAATATATATCCATAGGCCTCATATATTCTCAATTCTCCTAGTTCAAATGTCTAAGAAAATGAATCCTCAAACATGCATCTCGAGTAATTATAACTCGTAACTAAAAGCTTGAACTCATAAAGCTTAATCTTAAAAACCTCGGCGTAGAATTTACCCCCTTTACACTCACCTCAAAAAGACGATTCATCGATTCCTTAGTTGAAGAAATCTCTCCTTCGTCGAATTACCTAAAAAACCCTATGAATCAAAAAATTCATTTTTAGCCGACCTTTCTCGGTCTGAAACCTCCTTTTGAATTACTTGAACACTCTCTCCTCAAAATCCAATCCTCAAACCTCTTTTCAAAGACCCCTTAACCTCCTTACAGAATTTTCTATAAATAACTTCTTTCGAAATCGACCCATTTCAAATTGAATTCATATTGAACGAATTTTTCACTCAACTTAAACCTCCTTATAAATCCATACCATAATTTTCCTAGGTCGACAATGAGGACTAGTAACTTGGAAAATTATCAAATTCGTAAAAACACCTCGGCATGATTTTTGTTTAATTAAAATCGACATTTGATTAATTTCTAAAAATAGTAAATCATCTTCAAAAATCTTCAAATTAAATCACCAGCACCGAATGGATTCTCCTTCTATCTCTAGAATTGTTAAGCTCAGAAACAAACTCCCATAGAGGCTCAAAACAATTTAAAGAACTTAAATCACGTTTCAAGAAATTTCCTGCAGTCTAGTGACTAACCAGATCAGTCACTAATGGTCTCTAAAACTGTCGTTAAATTCCCAAAACTACACCCTCACAAACAAACTTGGTAATGATTGTGAATACCGACTGGCTTGACCCCGCTGCTACGGCGCGTGACCAAGGAGGGAAGGGGAGGCGGCCGCTACTCTACTAAGATGGAGGAATTGGGTCGTGCACTACTTTGCTGCTGAGGAAATAGGCACCAACTAGGGTTTTTTTCTCCTTTAATTGCTGCTTGGGGGTTTGGGGGAAATGTGAGGAGTTTAGGGGGGGAGTTCAGGGCCGTTCGTCTCTCGGCCCAATTAACGATAATTTTTTTTATAAATACTGTTAATTATTTTTATTATAATGATAATTATTTTTATTATTTCTAATCCACGGTTGCAACCTTTTGTACGTAACCGTCAATCCAACCGTTGGTTTATTATGGTCGAACCTGAACCCAACCGTTGATTTATTATGGTCGAACCTGAACCCAACCGTTCATTTATTATGGTCGACCCTGAACCCAAATATCGGGGTGTTACATTTCCTCCACTCCTATAAAAAAAATCGACCCCGAAATTTGCTTAGACTCATGCTTCCATTACACACCATTCTGGCCTCCTTGCCCCATGAATTTATTCTTGCTATATGAATTTTTATGTTTCCTTTGCTTGTCTGTATTGTTTATTGTACTTCTTATATCTCCTCTTGACCATAATAGTTATCCTCACCTAACTTCGTAGTACTGTGTAACTTTGAGTGACTCATTGTTCTTTTTAATTACGCAACTTGGTTGCATTTAAGGTCCTAGTACATAAGGGGGTGATCAGCTTACCCCCCACCCCAACCCAGGATGACCAGGAGGGGTGGTATGGTGGAGTGATTGTGTGAGTGTTGTTAAATAGGATGGATGACCGATTTTTGCCAAGACGATGAAGCACCATGTTATGGCTAGGGATGGTCATCAACATACCCTCATGGTATGATAAGAGGGAGGTTCACTCGTCCCGAATATCACATTAATTTCCCACCTAAGGCCCAAGTATAAACCTTAGATGGGTTCAATATAGGGCAAGTATGTTTAAATATTAACCCGGGCCGACCCGTGTACCCCTACTTCCATTGTTTTAAGCATTATCTAGCGAATTGGTTTTTGGTTGAAAACTATGAGATTTAAATCAAAATAAAGCAAAGGTAAATGGTTTGAAAGCTCTGGATGAGAAGAATCACTTGGGTGTCGCTTCCCCTAACTACTACCATGGCACGTGGACTCGAATGAGACGTTATGGGCAAGGAAATCATGAACCGCTAGGAGGTGCAACTATGGTCGAGGACCATACTCTCAATTGCCAAACCAAGGGATACATTATAGGCTATAGGAGTAGCCCTCTTAGAGTCTTGGTTAAGGAAATTAAGGGTTGAATTACCTTCTCCCTCAAATTGATGGTTGGACGACTTAATCATGATTAACCTAGTTGCTTAATTCAAGATAGAGGTTTGCCCTACATTAACCTAGGTAGGTGGCTTGTCAAGCCCAAGGAATCTCAAATCAATTGAGCCTCTTTTAGAAAGAGGGGTTTCCCCTCTAACCTAGGTTAGAATGGCCAATTAGATTTCTAGACACACACATGAACAATCATCTTGAAAAATACGTCAATCATT